TTCAGTGGTCTGACTGAAGCTCTTGTGCTCAGAACAATTGTATATGTGCTATTAGCTGTAAGGTTTGTTCAACATATATGCAAATTCATATCATTTGAGTAAACACATGATGCTGATAAAAACGCGTCTTTGAACGTTGCACTATGACTAATTTTACATCCACGTATTTGCATTGCTTTTATTCCTTAAGTAATTACTACTCTACTGATATAAGATATGGATATTCATTGTTATTTTTTACCTACATTTTCACCTCTGATCAGATTTAACATGTATTTTCTCTTTTTTCTATATTGAATATCCAATTAGTACGTGGCACAACATAAGTATTTCTTGGAGTTACTTTGATACACGAGTGACATAGTCGTTCCTTAATGTGTATTTCTTACATCCTTTTTAACGAAAAATAGTAATGAAAGGAGTGCTGCTGATTCAAAAGTTAGTTTTCTGATTATAGTGAATTTGTTGTGTTCTCATTATAAATCTAATTCAAATCTAACTAAATAGTAATGTATTGTGTTTTTAGATTTTTGAGTTAGTGTGCTAGTGTGCTAATAATATAAAGTATCAGATACATGTGAATTTTTATTTTTTATTTTTAATTTGTGCTTTAATAAGTATCTTTTGATGTTGAATTTGTATATGGATATATAAGTCATGATACTTTAATGGTTACAACTTGCTACATTACTAGTTTGACGTATATGTAATGGCTTTTTAGAGCTGCGAATCAGTGTGTTGTTGATATAAAGCATCATGATACATTACTATTTATGTATCTTATTGTGTTTGTGAAAAACTATATTTTGTAGATGATACATTATACATGTAATTTATTGTAAACACATCAAAATGTTCGCGAATAAGGGTATGTATCAACTTATATTTATATTTTGTATCTGATATTAAGTATAAGTTAGTTGTGTGATTGTTTGTGATTGATACATAGAAATAATTGTCTTATGTAATGTATCACTAATTTATTTTTAATGTTGACAGATTGTTGCATCATTTGAGTATCTTTATTCAGTCTATGATTCTAGAAAAAGATATATTGTTTGCCTTGAAAGATAAATAAGCAATTGTGAAAGATTCAATGGTTCCATTACTAGATAAGGAAATTGTCTTGTCACCTCGATACAAAAGGATGCCTGGATGATCATGAAAAGAAAAAAGAAAAAACTCAAGTGATGAGCCAACTACGAGCACAAACTGTTGTAGACGTTAAATACATGAAAGTCACAACACGCGCTCTTGCACTTTCTTACCCAAAGAGAAGTAATACATTTCTGTTTAGAAAAATACATTCAACTTCCAAAATGATGAAGTGTTATCATTAATGAATAAAAAATTGTTTAACTTTTTGTACATTTTTGCTTGATAATGATTTAATCACAATGTTAAACTATTAAATTTTAATAAATTTGGTACAATATTTATATAATGTATGTTTTTTTTATTTTGATAATAATGTATATGATACATCATGATTGTGAACGACTGTATTTACTGTAATTTTATGTTAAAGTATTGCATATAAAAGGAAAGACAAAATAATATATTTGATACATTAATTTATGTAATTGATACATGTTGAAATATACATTTGTCGTGGCTAGATATCAAGTGTATCAATAACTTAATAAACAACCTCTTGAATAATAAAATTGTGTGATACTTAAATTTATATAGCCTATTTGTATCAGATAATTGTTAAAAATATCCTATTTTGTATTGTGTATCACAAGCACTATAATTACAACAAAAAAATAAAGAAAAATATACATACTGAGATTAAAAAAATAAAATATATTGAAATTTAAATTCAAAATAACCAAGTTTTTAAAGAAACATTCTAAAACTTAATTTAATGTATCTTTAAAATAGTAAAACATTCAAATGGATGTGTCCACAAATACATAATGACTATTCTATATTAACAAAGTAACCATTTGTCCAGAAACCGACCTCCTAAGCTTGTTAATTCTAGATCATTTTCTTCCAAGATAACACACCATATAGCAGATGCAACATTTTTATCCTTTTTTTGGGGTTCTTCCACATTCGCCTTAAAAGATGAAGTTTCATCCTTCTTCGACTTTGACTTCTAAATATTATGATTCGCTATTGTTAATGGATCCTACAACCTTTTGAATCTATTTTCAGCCCAATCATCATCGTCGGAATAATAATGAGTTGATTAGATCTATTTTCATGAAAGTTTTCATCATCAACATCAAAAACAAAAGGTGCCATACTAAAAAGAGGGAGCAGAATTCATGTGTATCAGAAAATTGTAAATGAAAACATTAATTTTTTTTAAAAAAAAAACGACATCTGAAGAAATGGGAATAAAAAAATTGATGAAGAAATAGTTCTACCTCTTTAAGAACTTGAAATTGATGAACTTGAGAGAGAATAGATTTGAATTATATATACGATTAGTATTAGAAGAATTTAGTTGAGTAAAACCAATACTAATGAAGAGTCTGATCCATATGTATCAGGAAAAAAACTGAAAAAATAAAATTAAATTGAAGAAGACAACAATGACGACTGAAAATCCGACTTTTTCAGATGTTTGAAATTATTTTGATTTGAGAGAGAATATCAGTTGAAACAAATTGATTTGAAAACTATAACTGCTAAGAATGTGGAGTGGATTTAGGGAGAGAAAAGAGGAGTGAAAAGGGGAGTGGATAAACGTGGATTTTGCTGATGGATTTTATGTATCCGGAAGTCACAAAAATTGGGAGAAATAAGGGATTTATGAAATATTTTTAAAAGGTAGGAGAAAATGGAGAATAAGATAAGTAAATGTGTGTATATAAGTAATTTATCCATTATTGTATATACCATTTTGTATATAAAGTCCTTGACTTAGAGTTTGATTTCCTACTTTTATTTTTGGTTGTCTCAAACGCTTGGTTATTCTACAATGTAAAAGTGTTTGTTTTTGAGCAAGATGTAACTTGTGAACTCATGTGCATGGCTTATTTGGTTTGTCACCTTATTTCTAAGTGATTTTCAATGATTTTTTTTATCAAATCTTAACGGTTAAACCGATAAACCAATAACCGATAAGCCAATATCTTAATGGTTCTATAACTGTTTAGCATCTCTACAAACCGATAACCAATAAGTCAAACCAATAAACTTTAAAATTGAACCGAAACGATTGATACACCTCCCTTGAACAAATACAAAAAGCCACGCAATTACACACAAGGAAAATTCACACCTTAAATGATAAGTCAGTCTTACAGTTGTGAATTTTTGGGGGTTTCCTTCTTGAATTTAGCATAATCCGCCAGCAAATTATTTCTTACTTTATGCTGCATACTCTCCGACACATTCTTCATAATCTGTTAATTGCCATACATGTATATAAGAAATGTATTTTTATAAATTTTTTATTTTTATAAAATAATATCAGTTAAATTATATTTCATGTTTTATTAAAAGAGATAAGTGTCAAAACACACTTAAACTATATTCTTTGTTTGAGTTTCATACCTAAACTATTGAAAGTCAGAGTTTCATACATAAACTATTTAGTTTGAAAAACACACATCTCTCTTATATAACACTCTCATCATGATGTTTGTATACACTCTCTCGTTTACTTAAAAAAATTATCACATTACATTCAACATGGATAAAACATTTCACCTTGACAGAAATTAAATAAATTAAGTATTAGTTAAAATTAAAGATTAAAAATTATTATCCCAAAAATAAAATAAAATTATAACATAAAATGTAAAATATTTTTCTTACCCCACTCCATCACTTCCTCTCACCGTACCCTCCTCCCTCCATTTTTTTTTTAGTTTGAATTTCTCTTATAAAAAAGTATATAATTTATTTTTACTTCATCCTCCCCCCCCCCCCCTCCCTTCAAAATACTAATTTAGATATTATTTTATTTTTCTAAAAAAAAAATTTTACCCACTCCACCTAACCGTATGCTTCCAAAAAAATTTCTCGTTTTGTATTAGATATATACATATCAAAAATATGTTTTACTTGCCCTCGCAAGACTTTTTTTTAAAATAAATTTTTATTTATGTTATATTCGGTACAAAAAAAATATTCTAAAAATATATATACATATCTAACACAAAACGAAAAAATATAAAAATAAATAAATTAGGAGAGGAGTGTTAATATAGGATGGGGTAGAATTTTTTTTTCTTACAAAAAAAATAATTTTTTTGGGGAATGAGTGGGTGGTTGGGGAGGGTGAAGTATGAATTTTTAAAAACATATTATAAAAGAAAAAAAAAGTGGACGGGTATGGGGGATTGTTGTGGGGGGGGGAGGGGTACGTGGAGGAGATGGTGGAGTGGGGTAATTAAAATAATTTAATTTTTATTTTTAAAAAAATATTTTTTTGGCATAGTAATACTTTAATCTTTAGTTTTTAATTAATATTAATAGTTTATTATTTAATTTTTGTCAAGGTGAGATATTTTATCCATGTGGAAAGTCATGTGTCAATTTTTTTTCAAATAAAAGAGATAGTGCATATAAGTGATATTTAGGTATGAAACTCACACTCTCGATAGCTTAGATATAAAACTAGAAAAAATGGATAAGTTATGTATATTTTTGACACTTATCTCTTTTAAAAATAGTACATTCAAAATTTAGATAGTTTTTTTGTAAAAAATATGATTAAATTCAACTCTAACTTCAAAATTTTCAAATAATGAAGTATTTTTTTTTTTGTTGGCCAAATGCCACTTAAATGTTTAAAATACAAAGTTTCCGGCATTTGTTATTATCTAAATAAATGAAAAAATCTTGATCCTCATATGAAAAAGTTTTTCTCACATTTTACTCGTGGCATTTGAATCTGGCATGCCAATTTAAAAATAATGATTGACATTGTAATTTACAGATGATTTGGAGAATAAATAATTAATGGTTTTAAGAGTGTGTCTAACCAGTTGTGTGACATCTCTGTGAACATGTGGAGGGACCAAAGCAAGCATGGGAGGTGGAGCGAAGCTAATGCTCATATGGAAATGGCCTTTGATCCTGCTTTTGCCTCCTTTTCTTCTATCTGGGTAAAGTACACCTTCCATGCTAAGACGGAATTCTGATGGCTTGTTTTTCCCCTCTGTTACTCCTTCTAGATCCCATTTTGTCTGCATCATATATATATATATGCTTCAACTTAATCAATACTATATATATATATATATATATCCTTAATTAATTTTTTAAGTATGTGCACATCATACAATTTTGAACTCAAGAACCATAGAGGTATGGGTAGGAACGCCAGAAGGGTATTCTTTCCCATTAGTTTTGCATCTAAGTCTCATGTTAACAACTGGGCATGCTGTGAGGAACAAGAAGCCAATCGGTTCCATTCGGATTCTCCATTCTTCCTGCACCAACATACATATAATTAATTATTCAATTACACATTATTATACTAAAATAGTAGTAGTTAATTAATTACCTCGTTAAGACGTTGGGTTCCTCTGTTATCTGGGGAAATAGCTTTGAAGACTCTTGGTTTGTCCTCCAAGTACCTATCGAAAGATGCCTGTGTACATAAAAGCGTAATTAATTAACAACATATATTATAAAAACAGAGAGTGTAGTGTATGTGAATTGTGAACGTACATGAGGGGATTCAAAGAGGGGCATGTCAGATACAATGGTGATTTGTGAATCATAACTCTGTTGATGAGCCTTAATGGGATGGTATTTTGTACGGAATTTCTGCTTTGATGGACTCAACACTAGTACTATATTTCTCTCGAAGAATTGAAAGCCTCTGCTTCTTATTCTGCCAGGCTGCAACGTCGCACAAATTAAGGGAACTGTCACTGCCACAACACTTGGGTTCATGATTGACTAGCTGATAATTCGATCTATTTCTTTACCTCTTTCAAGTTTTTGGAGCTAAATCACTACTCTTTTTTCTTTTTTTTTGCAATGGAATTAATTCTCTGCCTGAAAGTTGGGACATTACACCTTATATTCTTACTCTGTCCCATTTTATATTAGATAGTTTGATTCCCGAGTTTAAAAAGAAGAAAAAACTTTAAAAACTTGTGATCCAAAATGAATGATAGAAATTTGTGTAATTATAAATCATTTAATTAAGTATAAAATGTACATTTTAAAATTAAATTATCACTTAATATAAAAATATATCATTTTTTTTTAATTGACTAAAAATGAAAGTAAGTCATAAATTTTAATATATCATATTCAAAACCCAAATCATTTTCATTTCATTACTGACTTCAGTACTTGGAGTAACTGGACCTACCATGTTTCTTTTGGAGTACACATTTCCAACGTTATTCCATCAATAATTGTTAGATATTTTATTCTTTATATATATATTTTTTTCCGGATAAATATAAAATGGTAATTTATGTATTTTTCTTTAAAAATATCTTTGAAAACTGTCTTCATCGTGTATCATCATCCGCAGTGTAATTTGTACGGCACGTGTTTGGTGTTAATCAATAAGACTATATAAAAATAAAATTATTAAAAAATAGTAATTGACTTTAAAATAAATGTTATATTTATTTAAATAAATATTATATCTCAAATATGTTATTGTGTGTCGTATCTCGCCTCATATTTCTTTACAAATAATTTGTTATATTTTTCTGGTCACTTTAGCTATTTTATCATAAAAAATAATAATTGTTGTAGACATTTATAATTTTCATTAAAAAGAAACAAAAATATTTTAAACCTTCTTGCTGAAATTCGAAACAAAAAAATAATAATCTCAAACAAAATAGAATACTATGAAATGAAAAGAAATAAAACACAAAAATATTAAAGAAGGGTTCAATGGAGCATGACTAAAGTAGAAAGAAATCTATATCTATATCTATATATAATATAAAGCTAGATAAAAGATCTCTTTGGCCAAGAATCCTATTTATCTTTTTTTTTCTCATTTTTTTGACATTTTATTTATTTATTTATTGTTTATTATTATTTTACAAATATGAATGTGGCAATTACTATTCCTTTCATTTATTCATATTCTTTAATATAAACTTTAATTGTCTTTATTTTCATTACTCTCATGACTTTTCATGATCATAACTCCTAAATTTTATTACTAATAGTCATGTTCATGATTTCATTTGGTATTCCCTATTGTTATCCTATAAATAGAGGCATTATAAATTTTTCTTACAAAATAAACGATCAAATCTATATAGTATATAGATGTGTGTAAAGCTCTCAAATTTGTGGTAAAGGTGCTTTAAGATGATCAAGCTAAAAGAAAGGCACATATATTCTATACTTTTTTCTTCTTCTTTTCGATCATCATAATACTATTTTGAGTTTGATATTTATTTGATTTGATTTGATTATAGGTAGACATCTACAGAAAATACAAAGAAAACAGATGGGTTGATGATAAGAAATTGTAAACAATTCTTCTCAAACTCTCTTTTATATTTATTTTTATTTTTCTTTTTCTTTGTGTGTTTGACTAAAGAAGTTATACTCATTGATCATAAATTTTGCTAAGTAACAAATATATGAGGTATTCAATTATACTCTTACTTTAATGTTAATTATTTTTAAAGAATTTCTTTATTTTGCAGCATTTGGAGAATGGAGGGGGAGGGGAGATAGAAAAGTGAAATTTTATCAGATGGGTCAAAGATAAAAATTGTAAGCAATTCTTCTCAAATTTTCGTTTATATTTATATCCCCTTTTCTTAATATGTTTGAGTATAGAAGTTATACTCAATTGATCATAAATTTTGCTAAGTGATAAACATAATTATTCTCTTACTTTATTGTTCTAAGTTTCTTTTTTTTTATAAAGAATATATGTATTTTGCAGTATTTGGAAAAGTGAAGGAGCGGGGGGCGGGGGCAGGGGGGAGTGAAATTTTATGATAAAATTAAATTCTGAACTTAAATAAATTCAATTGAAATTACAATTCATAACTGTAAAAATAATATTGTTTCATCATTTTATAGGTATAGATACCCTGATATACGAGGTGAAGAAAATGGAAAGGTGAAACAACTGATTTAAGATTAAGAGCAAGGAAATGAAAAATATATTAATTCAAAACTTTCGGTAAAATTGAATGCTTAACTATAAGAATAATATTTTTATTTCTAAATAGTCATTTTGTGATAATAATTTTATTGCCTCGATGTTACTCTAAATCTCGATAATTTTGTATTTTTTCTTTTAATTTTGTTAATTGAGAGGTAAATATCGCTCCCATGAGTTGTAGTACTTTAGATTTTGATATATTTGGATTGTAAATTTATAAAAAATGATTGTTAATTTTATGTGTGATAATTATTTGAATTTTATCTTCTTTATTTTTGTTCCACATAAATACACTGGATATGAATCTAACAAACAAGTGATATGCTTTTTTTTCCTATTATTATTTTTCAATTAAATACATGAAATTTATAAATATTATAAAGCTAAATATAGAGAAGTAATGTGCCAACTCTTTATAACTTCCAATTGCATTATTTGTTTTCTCTTCTTCTTAGCATTTTATTCTCCTATTTCATTATATAATAATACAATAATCTCTACTTAATATTATTTTTCTTAATTATTTTAATTAAAAAATCATCTTCATAACTCATGTCATTTTTTTTAAAAATATTTTATTATAATAATATTTATTAATTTTTTGACTTTAACTCACATTAACCTCCAATTGCATTATTTGTTTTCTCTTCTTCTTGGCGTTTTCTTCTCCCATTTCATTATGTAATAATAATAATAATAATAATAATAATAATAATAATAATAATAATAATAATAATAATAATAATAATAATAATAATAATAATAATAATAATAATAATAATAATAATAATAATAATAATAATAATAATAATAATAATAATAATAATAATAATAATAATAATAATAATAATAATAATAATAATAATAATAATAATAATAATAATAATAATAATAATAATAATAATAATAATAATAATAATAATAATAATAATAATAATAATAATAATAATAATAATAATAATAATAATAATAATAATAATAATAATAATAATCTCTATTTAGTATTATTTTAATTAAAAAATCATCTTCATAACTCATATCACCTTTTAAAAACAACTTCTATTATAATATCATTAATTTTGTGGCATTAACTCACGGTTTCATCACTCATGCTCTTAATATTCTCCATTACTCATATGTTTTTTCAAGTTTATAACCCTCAATAATATTTTACTTATAAATTTTGACACTTATCATAATTTTCTCATTATGAATTCTTATATGATCTCAAATAAAAATGATATGACACATCTTATAATTCAAGAAGTTTATTTATAATTTTTCTCATTTTTTGTGATATTTTTCTTAATTTTTTCATGTATATGCTATAATATTATAAAAACTCAAAACTCACTTCCTTAACTCTCTTAAGTATATAATAAATGTGCCTATGTTAAAGTTGTGGAAACATAAAGAGGTGTTACATTGATTTTTCCCCCCAGTTTTTTAGAAGTAATATTTAATTATTTATTGCTTTAATAAAAGAAGAAAATTAAAGATTATAATAGACCATAAAGGGTCATCATATACAATATTTCAATTTTTCTATAAAAGAAAAGACATTCTATAATCTGAAATAGTTGTATAAGTAGTTTATTTAATTTACAAAATTAAAATTTATATGTGTACATATGAAAATTTTATATACTTGATTATCTAAATTTATAAAATATTCTTTAAAAAATTTACTAATAACTTTCATAATCGCGCGAAGTGTGAACAAATTTACTAGTTTTTAAATAAGAGAGAAGGCGAGCTAAATTGTACTAGTTGGTTAAGATTAATCGTTTCCGTTACACTCTGTTCCGCCTCGTTATCTTTGCAATTTTCACGATTTCTTATTTTTTTATATTTTGAATTTTTTTACTAAAATTCTTATCTCCGCCGCTGAATAAACGTATGAATATTTTGGTACAATGATTGCCATGGGATAAGATAACCAATGTGATTTAGCTATCCCACTCTTTAAATGAGATAGTTAGAGCATGTTTGACATTGCTGCTAAAAATTGCTTATTTTTTGAAGCACTTTTTTAAAAATGACTTTTTAAAAAAGTGTTTTTGAAAAAAAGTAATTTGTGTTTGGCTAATTCATTTGAAAAGTGCTTTGATAAGCAAATCGTGTTTGACTAAATCTTTTTTAAGAAAATAATTTGAGAGTCAAATTACGAAAAATGGTAAGTATCAATGTACTTTTAATACTACGATTATTTTATAGAGAGAAACTATTTTAAATATCTATTAGAATTTTTTAATGAAAATATGCATATTCAAATTTTCAATCAATATTATACATAAATAAATAAATTAAATATTAATATAATATTAACATGATGAATTAAATATAATTCAAAATATCAAGAAAAATAAATTTAAAAACTATTCCACAAATTAAACCGCTATATACAAAAAATTCACCACAAAAATAAATAAAATTCTTCATATTTTTAACCCTACAAAAATGTTGTTTATTTTTTATTCTATAAAATAAGACGTAAAATAATATATAAAATATAAAATAATAATAGTATATAAACATAAAATAAAAAAATATTATATAAAAATAAAAAATAAAAAATAAAATTTTTGTATGAAACTAACCAAATTTATGATATATGTTAATTAATTAATAAGGGATATATTGTTAAATATATATAGGAGAGATATTTAGTCTTCAAGAAAATAATTTTCTGGTTTCGCTTCTACTTTTTTTAAGAAGCAGAAATTTTTAACTTCTTCCCAACCGCAGAAAAACTGCTTTTGCTTCCATTTAAAAGCAGTTTTGAGAATTTGCCAAACACTATTTTTTCAAAAAAAGTACTTTTATCGGAAAAAAGAAGAAGCACTTTTGACCTCCCAACAACAATGCCAAATAGGCTCTTAATCTCACCATTTAATGTAAAAATAATTCTAAAAATAAGTAATATCTCAAATCCAACATAAAATAAAATTAATCTCAAATAACATTTCAAAATTATTATTAACCTTATCAAATGTATCAAACAAATCAAGAAATATGAAGTACTCTATGTGTACGAAATTTGATCATTTTGGGCCTAATTTTCAAAATAGTTGAATAGTTTGGATTTTTTTGTCTAAATATTTGAACTAGAGAGGAAGTTGTGTATTAAATTCAAAGGCGGACCCACGTGTGATGTTGAGGGTGCACATGTACCTATTAACTTTGAAAAATTACGTATATATATACCTTGAGATAGACATATATTTTATTAAGTACCCAAAGATTACTAAAGTCAATTTGGCTTGCGTGAAGCTTAAAAATAAGAAAATACATAATTACCCCATCAAACTTATACCCTTTTTTGAAATAGACACCTTAAATTTGTGGGGGTCCTATTACCCCTCAAAACTATTTTTAACCATCAAACTATGTTTTAAAACTAGCAAACTTATGCGTTTTCTAGAAAATGACTTTTGATTTATTTTAATTTTAAAATATTTAACTTGCAAACATTTTTATATTTGCTTAACACCAAAATAAGTTTTAAGCTTATTTTATTGTATTTTTTAAGTCAATCCAAAAATCCTCACAATTCGATAAAGACATTTAATTAGTACTTTAGTAGTAGGGCTTTCCCTTTGTTTTTTCTTTGTTTGTTTTGTATATCCCCTTCCCCTTGAAAATTAATTCAGCAAAGAGATTCCCGAAAAAGAAACATAAAAATAAAAAAAGGGGGAGAATTATAAGTAGTAATCTTATTTGGCTGTTGCGTACACGAGATCACTATTATTAACAGAGGAGTATTTGTCCTGATTTTGATTAGTTGAACAAATACAAAAGGCCACGCAATTAACTACACACAAAGAAAATTCACACTAGTGAACCATAGTTTTCCAGTATGGAAAAAGAAAAATGAAGAGTTCTTCTGGTTTTTGATTAAATGATAAGTCAGTCTTACAGTTATGGATTTTTGGGGGTTTCCTTCTTGAATTTAGCATAATCAGCGAGCAAATTGTTTCTTACTTTATGCTGCATACTCTCCGCCATATTCTTCATAACCTGTTAATTACCCCACATAAATAAAAAGTTTTTTTTAATAAGAAAATGTGTCATATAAATTGAGAAACTAACTAACCGCTTGTGTGACATCTCTGTGAACATGTGGAGGGACCAAAGCAAGCATGGGAGGTGGAGCGAAGCTAATGCTCATATGGAAATGACCTTTGATCCTGCTTCTTCCTCCTTTTCTTCTATCTGGGTAAAGTACACCTTCCATGCTAAGACGGAATTCTGATGGCTTGTTTTTCCCCTCTGTTACTCCTTCTAGATCCCATTTTGTCTGCACAATAATATAATTCAACCTAGTTAGTTATTTATGTTGTACACATCGAGTACTCCGATCTGATCCTATCCTTAATTAATTTGAAGTATATGTACATACAATTTTGAACTCAAGAACCATAGAGGTATGGTTTGGAACGCCAGAAGGGTATTCTTTTCCTTTAGTTTTGCATCTAAGTCTCATGTTAACAACTGGCCACGCTGTGAGGAACAAGAAACCTATTGGTTCCATTTGAATTCTCCATTCTTCCTGCACCAACATACATATAATTAATTATTGTGTCATTTCAATTACACATTATACTAAAATAGTTAATTAATTACCTCGTTAAGACGTTGGGTTCCTCTGTTATCTGGGGAAATAGCTTTGAAGACTCTTGGTTTGTCCTCCATGTACCTATCGAAAGATGCCTGTGTACATAAAAGCGTAATTAATTAACAACATATATATAAAAACAGAGAGTATAGTGTATATGTGAATTGTGAACGTACATGAGGGGATTCAAAGAGGGGCATGTCAGCTACAATGGTGATTTGTGAATCATAACTCTGTTGATGAGCCTTAATGGGATAGTATTTTGTACGGAATTTCTGCTTTGACGGACTCAACACTAGTACTCTATTTCTCTCGAAAAATTGAAAGCCTCTGCTTCTGATTCTGCCAGGCTGCAACGTCGCACAAAAAGAGGGAACTGTCACTGCCACAACACTTAAGTTCATGATCGACTAGTTGATAATTTGAGTTTTAAAACCTCTTTCAATTTTGTAGAGCTAAATACACTCTTCTTCTTTTTTTGTTTATGAAAAAGGGAATTCTTTGCGTG